AACACTTCTGGAAAAGATGGCGTTCTGAGTACCTACTTGAGCTCAGGGAACAGCACCGATACTCTAAGGGAGACAACGCTGGAGTTGAAATAAAGGTTGGAGATATTGTCATCGTGAAGAGCAATGAGAAACGTCATGGATTCTGGAATTTGGGTAAGGTGGAGTCTATCATACCAGAAAGAGATGGATTGATTAGAGGAGCAACAGTTAGAGTTGCTACTGGAGGAAGAAAATCAACATTGTTGAACCGTCCAGTTCAACATTTGTACCCAATGGAAATTAACCACCAAGAAGAGGAGAGCTCACAAGATCAACCACGAGAAAGTCAAGATCACAAGGAAACTGCGAGACCCAGAAGGGCAGCAGCATTTGAAGCTCGTGATCGTATCATAGCTCAAACACTTGATGACTGAATAAACTCATGTAGTGAGTAATTAATTGGGTGGGTTAATAAGATAGTTTAATTGGGAATATTATTGATGTATGTACATTACTTTGATTTGTGTAATATGTATGCATGTACATTAATTATTTGATTCGTGTGCTATGTGTATATTACTTAATAATTTGTATTTGAGTGTGACATGTATATTGTAGACATCATTGAGGATTGACAAGTCTTGAAACACTTCTTGTCAATGGAGGGAGAGTGTGAGGAATTGAGAGTCTACTGTGATCATTATTGCTTATTATTTATTAAATTATTGTTCTCATGTATGCACGCATGTGCACTAGTTTTGAATTATTATGAAGAATTGATTGAACTAAAATCAGTGAATGGACAGATCCAGGGCGCTCTTGCTATCCTATTAAAGAACCAGCAGAAGGAATCGGGACAAATGACTTATTAATAAAATCATGGAAAGGAATGTTGTTACAATAAAAAAATAGTTATTTATTTCAGTATACGGGCTAGATCTAGAATCTACTAGAATTAAAAGCAACAAGCCATATATTTACCATGACCTAATTGCAGGCATAATGAAAGAACAAACAAAAGGGATAGAATCATCATCTTCAATTATTAACTAAAAAACACACTTAATATGAAGGTTGAATAGTAAATTTTATGTGCATAAAAATAATGTATCATAGATGATATAGATATCATAGATGATTAGATTTAAGTACTAGTTTCTGTTAGATCTAATAAAAATATATTTGTCTATTAATAATGGATAGCCTATATCAGTCCTCATTAGAAAAACAGAAGTTCATTTGCTTAATCTAGTAGTAAATTTAATATTCATGCCTGTACCAATTTTTGTTGTACAGGAACAATGTTAAACTCCATTCAATTATAAGCATAATAATTATGCATATATTTCTTTGAGATCAATGTTACTACATCTCTATTCTGTAATATCTCTCTTCTTTGTTATACTTTCTAAGTATGTTAAACTATTTTATTGCTCTTAGTGGGAACATAGATAATAGAGTATATCTATGGTGGGACTTAGATCATGTTAGTTTTGTTGTAAATAGTAAATTAACTTGGTTTATATTGTTTAATTATTATTGCAGTTATCTAGTTATTGTTATGTGTCCCATATAAGTCTATTGTTTTAGTTCTTCTGTTGATTCTTTACGCATACACCATTACACCATACATTCTTCTCTTCTGTTCCCATTTATTCTATGATAACTTGAGTTTGTCAGTTTAACTTCAACTTGTTACCAGTATTACAACAAATTTATTATAAATCATCAATCATATATGATTATTATTGAACTAGATTTAACAAAAAGGAAATTGTAATTATAGTCTTTTACTAATTATTGCCTAATTAGAGTAAGCCACTGATGTTCGGGCACCATGAATTATCGGCGGCTTTTACACGAAGCTGGAAAATGCAAAGTAAAAACTTTTTACATAGATAGATAGAGCTCGGATAGGTTAGTCAGATTATAGAAGATCAGACCTGCAGCTTCTTTTCTTTACGAGTAAG